TTGATTTCATTGGGGTTACATAGATGATGAGGAATTTCAGTATTCCGTGGTTTATTAACAATGTCAAGTTTTTTTAAAGCAGGCCAAACTTGCTGTGGTTTATGTTTCTTAAGTTCATATTCTATAAAGGCTTTTTTCTCTTTATTTATTGCGTGATTTGTGTAATTCCTCAACATCTTGTAATGGTCCCAATGAGCAACAACTTTCATGGGCGCCGCTACATAGGGGCAAGGAGGGGCCTTGGCCCCCCCCCCTGGGAAAAGGGAAAAATACAAGGTAACAGAGCAACACAACGGGCAAGGGCCATGTAAATCGTTTCCCTTGCGTTGCGTATTCACTTGAGAAGTGCATAGATCTCTTTGGAACAGATAATAGAAGAGTTATGTTTTTGTTTAAATAAAATGAAACGCAATAAGTTTGTTACTGGCACGTAACCTTGAGTTTGCATACCCTACCCCCTCTACTCACGTCCATATTAATGGTGAGCTTGCCCCCTCCTACAAAATTTCCTGGCGGCGCCCATGACAACTTTAGATTTTTTGAACCTTACCAAAGCGGCATCTCTTAATGAGATCATTCGTTTAATGTTACTTGTAAACCAAGGCGGTTGCTTTCTTCTTATGCGTACTGTTCTAATTGGCGCATGCACATCAAAAACATATAATAAACATTTGTTAAAATAATCAATTATATCGTTAATATTAGAAAAAGTATATATAAAATTCCAATCGATTGAATGCAATAGTATGCTAAATTCACATTCAACAATTTTATTTAAATTTCGAGTGGTTAATGAAAAAGGGGTTTGCCGATCTTTATTATTTATCGGTAGGTGACAAAAGATTAAAGCATGATCGGAAATGTGATGCAAACTAGTTGTTTCTGAATGTAGAATTTGCTGTTCGGAAAATACAATAATAAAATCTATCAAACTTTCGGAGGTAGCCGTAATCCGAGTGGGCTCTACAATTATTTGTTTCAAAGCAGACACCTCTAATAAGTTACTAAACTTAATGGTAATAGGGTAATCAACTTTTAAGAGGTCCAGGTTAAAATCTCCAATGCATACCAAATCACTTGAAGTAGGGATAATTTGAAGTAGCGTAGTTTCAAAATCCACTAAAAAATCTGAACGTGAGTACCTATTGCGGTCTTCTGTATATTGTTCCAATAGCCAAACTTGACTTATCAAGTTGAACACTAATCCATATTTGTTCAAACGTGCCGTAACACAAAATATTTGATAAGCATTTGTAATAAATGCCAACACCACCACCCCTGGTGTCAGTATTTCTATCTTTACGTACAAATAAGTAACCAGGTATACTCACGGCGTCACTACTTACTTGAGGTGATAACCAGGTTTCTGAAACCCCAACAATATCGTACTTGGCCGACAGTATGTGCTGCTTGAGATCCGCAAAGTGAGCTAAGCGATCGTGAATTTATCTGGATGATTGTGGCTAATGGAAATTAACAGGGGGATGGTTTTTGACGAATTTCTAAGCATTCGCGTTTGGAGAATCTAAACGATCAGGATGGTCTTAGGCAATTCGCGTGTTGAATTTCGAAGCGACCAGTACGATCTTCTGGAGAGAGATTCACGTTTTTCTCGTTGGGGTGACTAGATTACTGACGTCGTATCAGAAGTGGCCAATATATGTAAGGTCCCGTGTAAACCGGGAATCATAATTTCCAAAATTTGCGGAAATTTCAAAGCTCGTGCAGAAAGTTAGTGTTTTACTTGGTAGACACGCGCAAAATATTACCTTTGTATATCTAAATAAAAGTTTCACCTTTGGTTACCTTCGCTTACTAACTGAGAAATGTATGTAAGAGGACATATCAATATTTATTTATTTATTTATTTATTATCCCTCTCTTGCTCTGGGCCCTCAACAAGCTTGCGCCCAATTACAGAATGACCCGCATAACGCTTTTTAGAGTTTCCTCTACAGAATATCAAAGAAAAATCCAAGTTCGAGCTCGATCGAACAAAAAGCTTAACCCCAAGTTAGTATCCTGCAAGAATAAACGCAACATAAACATTTTTTCGTTATTGCGTATCAAGTAACAGTCGACAGGCTAAGAATACACGCATCGTCCTTGTGAGTAACATTTTCGCACTGGTAAGAATGTAAGTATCCTACGGTGTAGGAATGAAAAATTCTCTTTTTTACAAAAGATCAATGGGGTTATCAGCGAGATTTATAACCGCATTTACTAAGTTCTGTGCTAGTTAAAAAGTAAGAAGTAAGAAACCTTAAAACAACCCCCAACGTTTCGATATTTTCAAAATTTTACCCAGAATCTACAAATTTCAAGAATATTTTTTGAGACAGCAACCGTTCCCAACATTTAATATAACCGACATCTAATCGATATACGCAGTTTGTTCCATTGTACAGCCAAAATCGTAAATTTCAACTAGCAAAAGTCTTGTGACCATTTGTCTCCATATAATCATTGTAAATCTAAATTGTTCTTTAGTAGCAAATTAAGAGCAATAAAAATTCTTTCTCATTGTTACAATTTAGTAAAGTGTATAGTTTGAGTGTTTTACTCGAGCAGCACCAATTTATATAGATTGCTTATTGAAAATATATCATGATTATGTATACGTGTTTAAATAATGACTTAATGACCTATTGACTCTTCATTTAATAAAAGATCCTCGTGGAAAGATCATTTGTGATAATAGTAAACAGAAAATAGAAGAGGTTATCAAACGTGATCCCATCAGTGTAATGTTGGGAGATATAAATAAAATAAAAGACACATCTCCTAAAGTAAATTTATTTCATTAAAGTTGATTAGCCGCTTACGCAGCTTCCTCAAACCTTCTGACAATCAACTTCCTATTAATCAATACTAACTTGTTAACAATTGTAGAAAAATACAATTCCGTTTGATTGTGTAAGTGTAAGTAATAAATGCAAGTTATTGTTTATTTACCACAACAGATTCGAAAAATATCTCGTTGGAAATGTTATGATTTATTAACTAGGAAGGTGTAATCAAACGAAATTCAAAGATTCAAGTAAAAAGAGAAGAGATCCGTTTCTCCATCGGTTTTCTTTCAATAATTAATGTAATTTCAGTTTATACCAGCCACGAATTAGTTAAAAAAATTTCATTGATAAAACTCAGAGAAGAAAGTGGAAGACAAGCTATGTAACAAGCGACCCAAGAGTTACAACCCCATGGAAAGATTATTCCAACTATGATAATATGTACGTGTATACACGAACATACAACCTTCCTGAGCCTAAGAATCTTGTATTATGTATGCGGTGTCTTTCACTGCAACTGTAGATAAAAGCGAAATTGTTGAAATTTTGCCATATTCGGAAAATTACGGAAAATTCTGTGTGTAGTGGAAATAGATTTTTCTGATAAATTTATTTGTCTCCACGTTTCGGTTGTGTTTACAGTAGTATATCATGCAATACATCAGGGCTAGTTCAGACAGTCTTCAAATGAATCATATGTCAGGTTGGCATCATTGCGGTGAGGAACAAGGATAGTGTTCTCGACGAATGATTCAAATTAGTAAGAGAAGCATTTAGCCCCATAAGACCCCATACTGCATCTGGGCGTGCGAACGCAGTATAGAAAGATTGAAGAGAACCAGCATTTTTCAGACAATATGTTTTCCGACGAAGCGACCTTTACGCTACCCGGAATGGTAAAAAAACAAAGTTATTGTTATCGTATGAAAAACTACATACGCAGTTCCCAGAAACAGTTAAAGTCTGGACTGGATTGTAATGGACCTTTTTTTATCGAGGGAAATTTGATCGATGATCGATGTCTCCAACTTCTTCGGCAAGAAAAAATTCAGAATGAAAATTGTCAATGAAAGTGCGAGAAAAGGACGAGAAATTCTTTTAAATACAGGCCGTTTCACGCAATCCCTTACCTAAAAGTATTCAGGCTCTCATTAATAATTTAAATCTGAAAAGGTGCATAGAAACATAGTTTTTCATGACCTATCGAAGGGAAATATTATCAAGATCGTTTTACTTTCGGTTTTACTGGATGTGGATATCAACTTTTTTATTTTAAATAGAACAGCCTGTATTTTATTGCATTTTCAAAATCTCCATGAAAATCTACGTTGTTTTATACCACATTTCCTTATACCTAGCATCAAGGGTTCTCAAGTTATTCACGATTTTTCGAAATTGTTGGTATCAAACAACGTAGATTTTTATGTACATACCCTACACCTTTCCCTTTACCAAAGGAAAATCATCAAATTTATCACTATAAACCTATTGTGTAACTTTACGCATTCAAATTTGTTTATTTTGTTTATTGAATGCTAAGAAATTACGTGTTAGATAAGGAACATTAAACTTGAAAAGTTTATCTCATGTTTTCTTTCGGTCGTAGATAAGAGTTGCGCTTAACGCTTACAGTTAATTAATTTTGTAAACGGATATTTGTCACAGGTGCGCATTTAGGTAGAAGAATGTTGGTTATTTTAACTAAATAATAAGGAAGTGGAATCGAATATTGGAAAAGAGAGGGAAATGTGTATTGTAACGTGGCCGGTTACCTTTTGTCGCTCGCCTGTAACCCTTGGCCGTTTTGTGTAAAGTCGCCGCTACCATGCTGTGGTCACTTTGTGTGTTCGCGGCAGATTGGAGTTTCTCGGATGTACTAGAAGTCAAGTGTTGAATTATAGTTGTGTTTTCGCAAAGTCCTTTTCCGGTTAAAGTTTATTGAACAAAGTTAATGAGTGAATTAAGAGGTTTTAAGTACGTCGTGTTAAATTAAATAGTCGATTTCAAGTTAAGGAGAAGTTTTGTGGTTGTGTACTTGATTTCGCAAACTAAGTGAGGCATTCAGTTGATGATTTACCTACTGCTAAAATTGAATGTCAATGTTACCCGATTTGGGAGAAATCTAAATTTTATTCTGCACCCTAGAGATGTCTTAAAATAGCAATTTCCAGATAAAAATAGCTCCAATTTCGTAGAAAAATTACTCACGTGTTGTCCCGAAAGTCTTGGGGTTTCGCTAACAGGCGTGTGAACGCGTACTACGTCATCGTGTGATCCCTCGCATGACAGCTTGCTAAGCTCGTCGCTGGATTCGGAGGTGAGGGCGTCTTTGCTGTAACTCGCAAAGATGGAACGACGCGAATTTCGCGCCGATTGAGCGCTTCTTCTAGTGCTGCTGTTTGGAAACGGACTTTCCCTGCATGGACCTGGTCCATAGTTTGACGAGTGAACTGTAAAAACGGAACCTGGGCGCCTTCGTTGGTCAACTCTGGCAGAGGCCATTACGTAACTCCACATTGTTGACCATTTCACGTCCACCAGAAGCTGAAAACAACAAAAGGTTTACCCAACAGCAGTAACCAATTACACCAATTTGTAATTATGAAGCCTAAGTTGCCGGTTTTTTAAAAATAATGTGTGTTTTGACTTGTTCACAAAGTCGCAGTATAAAGCTTTTTAATCTGATTGCAACTGCAGTCAGATTAAATCTTGTTACAAACACACCTAAAGCATAATTGAATGTAGTATTTGCATACAAGAGGAGGCAATTCAATACGAATAACTAGTGTGGAAGCTACGGACGCGAGAGCGTACTAAACCCCTTTTTAGGCAATTGCATTGCGAATCAATGCGATTAGCAACTAGATTTGAGTTGCAGATAACAGATGCTATTAATTCAAACCTTTCATAGCGGTTTGAATTCGAAGTTTAAAGTGTGAATTCAGAATTTTAACTTGGAGTATGTACTCTCAGGATAAAACAAAATTATCACTACACAAAATATGCCTACGCCTTCGTGAGATTTTCTTTCATTATATTTCACCCTCCATTTTTCAGTTGTAAATAAGTGTCGTTAATTTGGACCTTTCATCGTTTAGCGAAGTGGCCGTCGTAATATTTTTATCAACACTTTTCCTAATGAGCCTTTTAATGAAGCAGTGTCGTTTCTGAATTGCTAATATTTCCAGTTGCAAATCCTGGCTTTATTTTGGTGACACTATATTTTTGCACGTCTTAGTTGAGCATTTCTAAAACTTGCACAGCTTATGACACACAAACGGTCATATTGAGATTATGGTAGGTAACTTATAGATACTTCCAGATTGAGCTTTCCTAAGACTACCTTTATTTTCAAAGTCACAGTACAAAGCTTCTCAGTTTGATAGCAATAAATTACAGTCAACCGTTCCTATTAAATGCTGCTTTTGTAGGTGAAGCCTAACAAATTCTCGGTACTGGATATCCTTTGCACTCTTTGCTTTCACACACTTGAAGACAAAAATTGTTTTTCACAAATAACAGCCGTTGTAATGAAAGTAGAAAAGCGATCAGCACCAATATGGAAATCCGACAGTATTTTTTACGTCGACATTTAAGATCTTATTTCCGTCGACTGTGATTATGCAAATGTTTTAAAAAATAAATTCAGAAATTTTCAGAAAAAAAAATCCTAACGTAATGATAGGCAACTTAAGTTGCGTTTTAATGTCTCGTTATCTAAAAAAAAAGATAATAGTAATCCCTGGCATTATCCTACGTATTGTTATTTTGTTCCTAATGACGTTGGTTGTTATGGTCCACTACTTTTATTTTCTAAAATTCCATCATTAGGCCTTCTTAGGTATCTACTAATAAATTGTCCTTGTTTGTTTCTTTTAAAAAGCATACGTATTTGTACGTATGTTATGCTACCTACTTGCTGTCATTGTGTATATAGTGTTTAAACCAATCTAGACTCACACCCCTGTAACTTTGGTAAAAATGGCGATGTGAACATTAATATTTTTGTATTCATTGCTTCAGAGCTGGGCAGTATTCGATTTTGTAAATACTTTTTAGTATTCAAATCCTTTACAGTATTAAAATACTTTGTAATTAAATACTTTTATGGAAGCAGTATTTTTATTTGAAACTCAAATACTTTCACAAATATTTAGTATTCGAATACTTCGTAAAGTATTTGGATACTTCGTAAAGTATTCGAATACTTCGCAAGGTATCTGAATACTTTGAGAAGTATTCGAATACTTCGCATAGTATTTGAATACATAACCTTCCATTTTTACCAAAAATCGACTGCACCAAAATTTCTCGTGAAAACACTTTTTCTTATTAATTTTGGTGCGTAGAATCCAAAACAATTCGTACTTTTTCGATCAGACTTCTCAATCAAAAGTTATAGACTAGAAACCAATTTCGAAAGAAAATTCAAAGGGCTGTAACTTTTGAACTAGTAGCCCAATCTTGGAACTGTTTGAAATTATTACTTTTACTCCCCTTAAATTTGTATATAACAATAGAAATATAAAAAAAGCTAACCCCATACAAAGTATAACTTGATTTTTAAGTAGTATTAAGGCTTTTATCTAGTATACTATTTTACATTTTTAATGTATTTGAGTGACAAGTATTTGAATACTTTTTACTGTATTCGACTACTTTTCAAAGTAAGTTAATGAAATACTTTTCAAAGTATTCGAATACTTAATACTTTTGAAAGTATTCGAATACATTCTAAAGTATTTGAATACTTATTTTTTAAAGTATTTGAATACTTTTCAATGTATCTGTATCTAGTATTCGCTTGTGCTGGGCGTAAAAGTATTTAGTTTTCGAATACTTAGGAAAATCCTACTATGCATAATGTGTATGGGTATAGATTAATTTTTACTCTGGACCCAGTCACCAACTGTCTGAATTTAACCCTTACACCCCAACCCTTTTACTATGAGTACCTGTTATTATAGTATACTATGTTAAAAAACATATTTATATCACACAATGCAGTTGCGCTGTACAGGGTGGTTCAAATTCGTGGCTCACCATTGAGATCTCCGTAACGGTGAGAGATACGGTGTAGATTACATGGCGGTGAGATTGCCCTCTTTTCTGACTAAAGAAACGGAATAATCTTGGGAAATAACTGTCAAATTTCGTTTTCATTTTCCCTAGTTTAAACGGTCGGAAATGGACCGTTCCCGTTAGCACCTGGCACTTTTTTTCGGAGCAGAAGCTACAGACTAGGTACTACTTTCTTATTTCTTTTGGACAACATATGTACGGAAATTCTAACAGACTGAGATTCTCCAAAAAATGCCCACAAAAGGTGCTAACGGGGACCGTTCCCTTCCCACGGTTTAAGCTATAGAAAATAAAAACGAAATTTGATTTCAGATTTTTGGTCATATCTCAATTATTTTCAAAAGTTTCAACTTTTTTAGTCACAAAACCGTTATGGAAATCCCAACAAAAACACAAATTTGAACCACCCTGTACAGAAACCGTGTCTTGTCTTATTCATCCCTTCAAACATACCAAGTTTCTTGATTTAGGCAAGTCATTCCCCATCAGCAATATATTGTTTAATTATGTGTATATTTTTTTAAAAAATGAGTTATTTCTTACGAATCCTTTCGGATATGTTTCCTCAAAGCAGGTTGGAGTGAAAATTACCTACTATCATTTGTGGTGAAATACGTCATATTGTATTACATATCTTATATCGTACAAGGTGTGAGACGAGGTCGAATGTGACAGTAGGGGTGGAATTCATAGACATTACTTAAGTTAGACTTACACTTTACTAAGTGCACACTTAGTTTTGTTTAAGTGGAACTTATATTTACTGCTAGTATCTGTCCGAATTTCGCGCGTTACTATAGCAATAATGTCATGCGTCACCTTAACTATATCTTTGAATACCACTACCTAAGTACGCGCTAAGTATGAGTAAAGTGTAAGTGTAACTTAAGTAATATCTATGAATTCCACCCTAGGTGTCACACAAGTACCTACCTATGGAAGGCCGCTGTCACCTGTCAAAAAGGTTTGTAGGTATACTACTTTTTCTACAATTTCCACTAAAAACCCAAGTGGTATTCATATTGTGTACTAGCAATGCCTTCAAGAAAAGCTTCCAAAACATTCCGTGCTAATGTTGTGATAGTTTAGGCCTAGGTTTAGGCTGCACATTATTTTAGTTTACACTTTGCTTCTTCATTTGGTTTATTTTACGTTTTCCGACTCCAGTTTTATACAAACTGGTCTTTCTCAAGGCGCTTGAATTTATAATATTACCCGAGATATTACCTATAAAGTATGTAATTCGCTTAAAGTGTTTTTAGATGTAACCTTATAGTGTTTATTGATGTAAAAATTGTTTCAGAAGCCATAAATCATGAGTTTGGAGAGAAAACTCGTTCTCCCTGAAGCTCGTAATATAATTCGTAAAGTACTCGAATTCGTTGATCGCCAAAAAGAACTAGAACGTTGGAGTTTCCCTGTGGAAAAGGCGACCCAGTTACCTGCCGCTGCAGTTGGTCAGTTTTATAAAACATACGTAAAAAATCAGGTGAAGCTGGGCCCTCGAACTCAAAATTTCCCAAGGAAAACGACATGTGCAGCCAACAAACATGGAGGATTATGATGAAGCTGATCTGTGTATTTTTAAAAGAAATGTATATAGAAATGTATAGAAAAACTGCAAGAAAAGTCAATTATGTGGGTTGAGGGAAACTCTTAGCAAGCAATTCTTGCAACCTGGTTTTCAATATAAGAAGTGTCATGATAAACGTTTCTGTAAATCAAAGTAGAAATAAATAAATGCCCTGCCCCTTGCTGTTATGCAACTCATATAGCGCGTGGTCTACTTATTTACTAAAGAATCAAGTTTTGCATATGAATGCACAGTCTATTTTTGTAGCATGGTGCCAGTGATGAAATGCATCATCTTTTCATGAGAGTAATGTACAGAATATCCAATTTCGATATCCCCTACTTAAAAAAATCCGCGCAATATGTGGCAACCGGGCAACCTTAAAAATGCCCCAGTTCCCTTTTTTATCTGAATCTCTGGAGGGTGATGATACAATAACAATCATGTATTTTAGGTATATGGGCGAATATCATAAGTTTATTTTAACGGGGTGACTAGCACTGGGCGATTACAGGTTTGAATAAACTGCACCCAATATAGGCAAAGAGCGATAATGTCACTTCTGGTTGAAGAAAGTTGATTAAAATTTGATCAGTTAGTCCCTTGATCATTGTCTACCTATTACCACAGACAGTGTCTGTGCTATTACTGAAAACATAATTGGAAATTTCGAAACGGTTAGGGAGTTATCATGTACACAGACGAACAGAAAATCACATAATCGATTAATCAATTAATTTAAATGAATAATCAAACCAGATTATCGATTATCCTTTGATTATAGTCGATTTTTTTGCCCAACGCTAGCCATCACAGTTCACATTCACAATAACGTAAGACGACCAACGTATATTTTTTCATAAGGCTCTGGAACCTATTTAGCGAGACGTCTATTTT